TTCCTTCCTTCCTTCCTTCCTTCCTTTCTTTCTTTCTTTCTTTCTTTCTTTCTTTCTTTCTTTCTTTCTTTCTTTCTTTCTTTCTTTCTTTCTCTCTCTGTGTGTTGGTTGAGACAGGGTCTCACAGTGTAACTCTGGCTGAATGAAGCCTGAAACTCATTTGCAGCCCAGGTTGTCTCTGAGTTTACAGCAGCCTCTACACCATAGAAGAGGAGAGTCCTGTGGGAAGAGAGGCTGCTCAGGGCTGATGGCTGAAGAGGCTCAGGCCAGGGTCTGGCTCTCCTCATCCTGAGCTTGGGGAGGCCACCTCACCTCTGTGAGAGTGGTGGGGACAAAGGCTAGTTTCCTGAGAACAGTTCCACAGACACACAGCCTTTTCCTAGGGCCCCTGCCCTAAATTTCCCTCTCCAAGAGGCCAGAGCTCCCTGGCCAGAGTGCACACACTCAGGGCTGCCTTTCACTTTGGATCTGAGTGTCAGAGGGCCTGTGTTTGAGAGGAGGTCACTGCTTTCCCTTTTTTAGGAGCAAGAATGGAACTCAGGCTGGCCTGGAACTCACTATGGAACCAGGCTGGTGTTGAACCACAGAACTCCTGCCTCAGCCATCCATGCACTGTGACTACGAGTGTGACCCACCACGCTCAGATCAAGGATCATTTTTTTCCAATGGGGGCATGTGACTTGGTAATTAACCCACCAGTCTATCCTCCTTGTTTTCTTCCTTTCTTTCTTTGCTTTTTTGGGGCGGCAGAGGTTTCGAGACAAAGTTCCTATGTCCTGTAACTCACTCTGCAGACCAGGCAGGCCTCAAACTCACAGAGATCTGCCTGTCCCTGCCTACTGAGTCCTAAGACTAAAGGTGTGGACCCAACCACCCAGCTGTCCCCATTTCTTAACTACATTCCTGACACTCAGTGTCTCTAAGTTCCTTTTCTAAAATCACACAATCCTGCTCCAGTCCTCCAGTCTAGAATTATCCCTGTCTGGAGTGTGTTCCATGTCTACGACCTACCTTGTCATTTGCAGAAACGTTTTGGGCCTTTTGCTCAGTGCTGACTCAGAATGTTAGGTGGTGTGGACCACATGGCGACAATTGATGCTTGACAAAGTTCCAGCAATTTGTTCGACTTTGCAGATCACGATTCTCCAGCACCCTTTTAATTTTGTTTTTACTGGTTCTACTATGTGTTATGGGAGTTCCCTATGCCTTTTCCTTTGGGTAATTATGTGTGGGATTTGAAGGATGAAGATGTATAAAATGGCAGCCTCTCTAAACAAACTAATTATCTTGGAAAATGTCCTCATCACCATAGGACCACATACCTTGATAACTCTGTCTGCTCCCATACAAGTCAATACCAAGCTGCTAGGACATTTAGATAAATCACATTTTCTTGATAAAGAAGGTATATTGAATATTCAAGATTTATAAAGTCCTCACTTCCACTCAGGTTCACAGACATATTTGTTTGGCCTTGTCTTTGCTCAACTTTAAGCTTTAGTTAATTGGAAAGCCTAAGCCATACAAGAGTGTACAATATTCTATAATATCGTGTCTGATCCCCTAAAAAAGTCCTTTTTACCATGGCCAGGCATTTAGACAAAAAGCTCATTTTCTCAGGGGCTTGAAGAAAGTTCCTGCTTGCTCTAAAAGGAGACATTCTTATCCCAGGCAAGAGGAACTGGTGGTCCTTCCATCAACATAGGACTGGTTCCTAGTAGCTTGTCAAGGTCAATGCCAGCTTTCTCAATTTCTGGTCTTAAGCCGCACCACAGCTCACATGCCCCTGTCTCCATTAATTCTATGTGCATCTACAGAGTTATTGAGAGCCGCTGGTAGCAAAAATCCATGAGAGTATACAGCAGTGACAGCTAGAGTTCAGAAGGTCCACCTATCAGAACTAAGGGTTCTGTTAGAGGAAACCATCACGCAAGGCGTTATGGAGTTCCTGCCTTTTGAATGAACTGGCTGTCTCTTGTTGGAAACTTCTTGTGCAGTGACAGCTGTGAGTCTCCCCACTTACCGTGCATCTCCATGTTGTTGAACATGTGATCGCACGATTGCAGCTCAGTCTTGGGCACAAGTTTACCTATACCTAGCCATTTCTAGATTATAGTTTGAGCACATAAATTCCCTATTGATCTTAGCCTTTAGTTGACCTACCAGAGAATTCCCTTTTAGTCACTCCCCTTTTAGGTTGTAATTGGAAGCTGACATTTATTGCTTTATGTGTGGATCCTTATCACCTCTCTCTGAGACCCTGAAAACTTCAAGCTTCACATGGCTTTGTCAAAGAATTACTGTGTGGGTACATATACTGGTTTTCTGAGAGCACTGAGAGGATTGATGGAGAAGAACAGAGATGAGGATGGAGATGGAAAGAACTAGGCAGAATGATGAGAGAACAGCAGGAGGGACCCAGAGCAGGAGGGACCCAGAGCAGGAGGGACTGAGAGCAGGAGGGACCTAGAGGAGCTAAGTAAGAGAGCAGAAAAGGAAATGTGCAGATAGAATTGACTGAGAAGAATAAAGTGAATGGACTGAAGAACTCCATGTGCTTAGATTCATTGAACATCCCTCAGATTAGAATCCTCAGCTGGTAGTTAGACTCTTTCACAGACCCTGGGAGAAACAGTATTTTCTGGCCCTAATATTGTTTGCATTTCAGAGTATGAAGGTGTGCTCTTTTTTTCAATAAGTTCGAAGGCAGCCATCACGATTCTCCCTCAGATCCTCCTCTCCCCCAGCCCGGTCCACACATCCTCTCTGGGACCTGAACAGCTCCCAAAGCTGGTCTCAGGCAGTTAGGACAGGACAGTGACAGCAGACAGCAAGACAGTCATCTAGGTGACCAGGGACGTTTACAGACTGCATTTGTCTCCTGACTAAAAAGTGGGTTTTGTCCATAATCTTGCCTCCCAGAAACTCCTCCCCATCCAAGACCCAAGGAGAATGATGGAGACAGCTTCCAGGACCCAGCCCCTTAACTTCTCTCACTCACCTTCCGGACGTCCATAGCACGTCAAGGTTCAGGGCCGGAGCCTGTCCCGAAGAAAAAGAGAATGAAGGAACGTATTAGGTAACTTCCTGGACACTATCCCAGAGAGTCATGGGCCGCAGGAATGGAGGCCCAGCTCCCTCTAACGGGACATCTGCTACTGACCTTGTCCCCAGGTTCTGATCTCCACTAAGATTGTCACCTTCCTCTTCTTGTCTTCCCAGCTCAAAGGCTAGCTGATGTCTGCCTAGGAGGAAGGTCCTGGCTGTTCTGATCCCACAGGAGAAAGGAAGAGTGGGTTTTCCCTGGGTGAGAGCCTCTTTCAGAAGAGAACAGTGGAAGAGAAACTGAAAGAGAAACAGTCAGGAACAAAGAGTCAGAGCAGGGCCGCTCACCCCTCTTCAGAGCATAGGACTTAGACCAGGATGTTACTCAAACAGACTGCTTTCATTAGTGAGGGCCACGTCCTGGGCTGACCCCACACTGAAAAGAAACAAGCAAAGTCCTGACCTGGAGGAGCAGGTGGGATCTGCAGGTTTGTGTGAGGCCCACAGCCGGGTGTGTGGGTCGAAGGGCAAGCCTGACCAGGGTGTGCCCGGCACTGCACCCTTCTGGAACACTGACAAGCTCTTGCTGCAGCTGCTGGATGGAGGAGGCAGAACCTGCCAGGCACTCTCCTGGGCCTTGGGGCCAGGGGTCGGGAGGCTGTCTTAGTTACAGTTTCTAGTGCTGTGAAGGGGCACCATGACCACAGCTGCTCTTATGGAGAAAACCATTTAATTAGGGCTGGCTCCCTTACAGCTCAGAGGTTCAGTCCATTGTCATCATGGCGGGGAGCATGGCGGCCTGCAGGCAGACATGGTGCTGGCAAAGCAGCTGAGAGTCCTACATCTTGCAGGCAACGGGAAGTGGTCTGAGTGTCACACTGAGGGAAGCTTGGGCAAAAGAGCCCTCAAAGCCACCCCCACAGTGACACACTTCCTCCAACAAGGCCATGCCTACTGCAACAAAGCCACACTTTTTAATACTGCCACTCTCTATGGGCTTATGGGGCCAATCCCATTCCAATACCACAGAAGTGGGATCAGTAGTCACAGCAATGCTACTCCACCAGGGACAGAATGGCCCTCAAGAGGACTCAAGGCAGCTGCACTCTCTACTCAGCGAAGCAAGTTCCTGCCCCTCTTCTGCCATGGCCTGAATTCTGAGGCTCTGGGCCCCTAATGGGAAGAGGTTTTCCAGCTAAGGTAGGAGCTTTCATTGCATTGCTCCCTCCATGTGCCTCACTCCAGACCTGTCAGAAGTGCCTCTTCTCCTCCCCATGCACAGGGACACAGACAGGGCCCTGCTCTCTCAAGTTCCAGAGGACACCGGGATCCACTGCCTTGTCACCAGTTCCAGAAGAATGAGGTTTCACCCTACAAGCTTTTCCTTCCTGGTTCCCTCTCCTAATTAACCACTCAGATAATTGTTCTAGGACCACCATAGAGCTGGACGCTGAGGACCATCAAGTATACCCAGGCCATAAGGAATAGCAATAGTCCAGAGGTATTTACACCCCAAGTTCCAAGAGGGTCTGTCTGGACTCTGCAAAAAACAGATTTTATATAACAATCTATCATTGTTAAATGCCCTCAGCAATTGATCACCTGTGTCTCCTGGATACTAAACTAATAAAGAAAACAGGTGCATTAAAATCTGTCTCAGATAAGGCTTATCTCAGGTAAAAATTAAAAGCATGTTCCAAATATCTCCCCCCCCTCCACTAACACTAACCAATATAGCAGAGTACTAAACATTATAATATCATGGATACCAACTCAAGATTTTAAAATTTTAAAAGCGTGTGGTGGCATATGCTTTTAATCCCAGCACTCAGGATTCAGAGGCAGGTGGATCTCTGTGAGTTCAAGGCCAGCCTGGTCTATAGAGTTCGTTCCAGGATAGGCTCCAAAGATACATAGAAAAACCCTGTCTTGGAAAAAAACAAAACAACAACAAAATATTTTAAATTCCCCGTGGCTGCTTCTTAATATGTTTAAAAATTCTTCTGAGCTCCAGAGCCAGCTTGAATCCACCTTGACAGGTCAGGGAGATCCAGAGACAGCTTGACCTGGACAGCACCTTGTCCGACCCAAGCAGCCACAGAGCCCTAAGCAGTGAAAGGTGTTAGATGATTCCCAAAGCAGCAGAGGACAATCCACTGCCTCAGGACGTCCAGCTGCTCCAAAAGCCCCCATCCCTGCTGCACAAGAGTTAACTGATGCCCACCGAGTCAGCTGGAAGCAGTTTCGGGAGACACAGTGCCCACACTCCTGTTCACCCGCCATTTCTTTTTAAAACGAAGAGTCTGGAATGTTCCTACATGGCCAAGCATGTGCCGTTCAGTATCTAGGCAGGAGGCTTGGTCACCCCGGGGCCTTATGTCCTATGTAATCCATGTGCTGTATGGTCGCATATTTGCATGCAGCGTAAATACACAATCCATGCTGCACGCGTGGTGTAGCCATGTGAGCCCATACATACATGTGCCGGGGATCCATAAAAATCCCGTCACAGACTCCTACCGCCTCTTCTTCTTCCTCTCTCTCTCTTTGCATGACCATTTCCATAGGCCTCAGCACATCTTTCCTGAATAAACTCCTATAGTGGGTTTTCTCGTACCTTGTGGCTTTTCTCACACGGTAAACAGCACTACTTATTGACTAACATTGCATCACCACATAAAACTAACACTCAGGCTGGACTTGACTCTGTACTCAGGCCAACATGGAACTTGCCATCCTAGCCTCTCCCTCAAGTGTCATTAGTCACCAAGAGGGTCCTCTGTCCCTTTGAAGGATGCATCTCAGACTCTGTCCTCTTCAACAACCCAACATAATGCCTGGCCCACATTTATCTTAATAGATAAAGCTTAACCCTGTGGTGCTCACTCCCAGCCTCTTAGCTGGCTGACCCTTCTGTTCAAAGTTTCCTTCTCCAGGACCTTTAACGAAATGGAAGTATTCTGTGACAACCAGGTAAATTTCTACCACCTAACCTTGCCAACCTCCCCAACCTCCCCAGGCTGGTGCCTCTTCAAGATCTTAGAGATCGCTGCTGACTGGGCCTAAGATTCCCCTCAGGGTTGAGCAGCATCTCATTGGTGAAGCACAGACCCAGCCATGGGGTCTCTAGGTCTGAAATGAAGAAGCCAAGCATCCAGAGCTCTGTCCTGGCCTGGGTGGATCCACAGGGAAGAAGCTGTGGCAGGAAGTGATGCCCGAGCTCTGGCTGTGGTTTGGGGGTGCTGCTGTGGCAGTCAGAAGAGTCAGAGGAGGGTGTGGCCAGTGGGGCCAGTCGAGGGCAGAGATGTGAGGTTTGGGAAGTGGCCTGGAGATGCGGAGCGAAGGATGGGAGGGATGGAAGAAAAGGAATGACAGAGACCCTGGGGTGAAGGTGGTGGGAGAGGAGTTTGGGGGCTTCTTTTTCTTTTCTTTATTCTCTTTCTTTCTTTCTATATCTTTTTTCTTTTTTGAGACATGGTCTCTCTATGTAATACTGGCTAGCCATTAATTCCTTATGTAGTCCAGGCTGGCCTCAAACACACTGAGGTCTTCCAGCCTCTATCTGTGAATACTGAGATCAAAAGGCTAAACCACCACACCCAGCAGAATGTGAGTTTCTTTTTCTTTCCTTCTTTTTGTTAAAAAAGATTTATTTATATATTTTTGTATATGACTGGTCTATCTACATGGTCACCTTTATTCCAGAAGAGGGCATCAGGGTGTAAGTCACCATGTGGTTGCTGGGAATTGAACTCACAACTTCCGGAAGAGCAGCTCTTAACCGCTGATCCATGTCTCCAGTCCCCAGAGTGGGGATTTCTACCCACAGGCAGGAATTGGCAGGGGATACTCCAGGTGCCCAGCACCCAGGGCTTCTGCACCCTAAGTCTCTATAATCAGTTTTCCCTCAGTGGGTGAGCGGCTCCGGCAGCGCAAGGACACCTTTCTTCTGACCTCTGGGCTTCTTTCGCCCCGCAGCCCAGTGCCACAGCAAAAATATTTGCTGAATGGTTGAAGGAGCACAGGCGGGTGGTGCCGATCAGAAAGAGTCAGGGCAGAGGAGCTGGAGTCCACACCCCAGGGTCCCCTGGGTCTTCTTCCGGGACAGCAGACCCAATGCCTGTGCTCCCTTCCCAATGTGGGGTGGCCTTAGCTCCGCCCTCTGTCCTCTCTCCCCAGATGGCGAAGGAACCGACCTGTTTGCAGTAGCAGTTCATGAGTTTGGCCACGCCCTAGGCCTTGGCAACTCTTCTGCTCCCAACTCCATTATGAGACCCTTCTACCAGGGCCCGGTGGGTGACCCTGACAAATACCGCTTGTCCCAAGATGACCGTGATGGATTGCAGCAGCTCTATGGTATGGAAGGGAGATGCCAAACCACCCCAGGTGTAGCTTCCTTATGGCCTGTACAGCAGGTCAGGGAACCCATATCTGTCTGCCTCTCCCACAGGGAAAGTGTCCCATACCCCGGGTGACAAGCCCACAAGGAAACCCCTGGCTTCCCCTCCACAGCCTCCAGCCTTGCCCCCTGACAGGTGAGTCCCCTGCCATTTGTGTGACCCGCTCCCTGGCTCGGGGTCCTCCATGGGAAGGGGCTGGAGTGCTGGGCAGATGGTCAATGTTTAGGAGCATTTGCTTTTCTCTGAGGACCCAGGTTCAGCTCCCAGAAACCACTTCAATCAGCCCGCTACCACCTGTCACTCCCACTCTGGAGAACACCTGTGGCCCTCTCCAACACCCACACACGTGGCATACACACATAAATAAAAATAATAATAATAATAATAAACACAGGGCTGGGGAGATGGCCGCTGGGGCAGAGCAACTGCCACCCAGGCATGAGGCTCTGAAATCAGATTTGAGAAGGCCCTGTGAGAGCCAGAGCTGTGGGTCTGTAATCCCATGACTCAGGGAGGCACAGACAAGCAGGTTCCTGGAGCTCATTGGCCAGCCAGCCTCACTGAGTCAATGAACTCCGGGTTCAACGAGAGAGCTTGTCTCAGAAAATAAGGTGGAAGCCAGGTGTGGTGCACACCTTTAATCTCAGCTCTCAGGAGGCAGGGACAGGTGGATCTCTGTGAGTTCAAGACCTGCCTGGTCTACACAGCAAGTTCCAGAATAGTGAGGGCTGCACAGAGAGACTCTGTTTCAAAAAACAAACCCAGACCCAAAAAACACAAGGTGAAAAGCAACCAGCGAAGACACACTGTCAACTTATGGCCTGCATACACACACACTTGCACATGCACCAGTACACACATACATACACACTTTCACATGCACCACTACACACACATACACACGTGCACATGCATCAGTACACACACACATACACAATTGCACACACATCAGTACACACACACATACACACATGCACATACATCAGTACACACACACATACACACATGCACATACATCAGTACACATACACATACACACATGCACATACATCAGTACACACATACACACGTGCACATACATCAGTACACACACACATACACACATGCACATGCACCAGTATACACACACATACACACATGCACATACATCACTACACACACACATACACACATGCACATACATCAGTACACACACACATACACACATACAACACACATACAACACAAGCACACAAAAGATGCGGATAGGAAGCGTCCTTACCAGACTAGTCAAGATCAAGGACAGGGAAGCCTACCTCCTGTTCTCTCCCCATCATTTCCAGGCCCTCCACACCTGTGCCTGATCGCTGTGAGGGCAATTTTGATGCTATTGCCAACATCCGAGGGGAGATCTTCTTCTTCAAAGGTAAGTCACTTAGGATGACCCTTGGATCTGCATGACTGGCTTCTTTTACACTTCAGGTGACTCACCCAGGCTGCAAAGCTTCCCGGGAGGTGAGAATTTCGGTGTTAAAAAAGTGGAGTGGTATGGGGGAGACATCCTGGGCAAGTGATAAAATGATGGCCATAGATCTGCTTGATATATAGAGGGATTCTCCCCCTGCCCAGCCACTCGCTGGGTTGGATAGAGGGAGGTCACAAAAGGGACATGAGCTCTTACTTTGTCACATCCCCAGGCCTTGTTCCCTTCTTCCCCTGCAGGCCCCTGGTTCTGGCGCCTCCAACCCTCAGGACAGCTGGTATCGCCCCGTCCAGCTCGGCTGCACCGCTTTTGGGAGGGGCTGCCCGAACACGTGAGGGTCATCCAGGCTGCTTATGCCCGTCCCCGAGATGGCCGAATCATCCTTTTCAGCGGTGGGTAGGGGTCATGGGTACCGGATAGGGCAGGTCTAAGAAGCGCCTCCCTGCTGCCCCACTACCAACATGCCTCCTTCCAGGCCCCCAGTTCTGGGT